TGTGTGTGTGTGTGTGTGTGTGTGTGTGTGTGTGTGTGATGTAGTGTAAAGCACTATACAAATACAGGAGCAGACACACAGTCTCTGCTTTATTTGGTCTGCTCACATTAATATTAGAGTTTACCTAATGTTAGGAGGTGACCTGTGGGCGGGACCGTATCAATAATAATTACACATGTAATCACTTAAACACCGCACTACCAAATCGGTGCTCGGTAACATTTCTATTCTGGTTCTGTTTGTTCCGGATTACTAGTATTAAAGACGCACAGATGAGTCTGTCCTGTACAGAGCAGGTTATCGTCAGCTGTGACCGTCAAAGATGAGTCGCATCCAGAGCGTGAATCATCTTAAACTTTGGAAACTTATTTAGGACCGGAAAATCATTTTGACTACAGGAAGCACAGACGAGAGTTATGGAAACAATCAACAGAAAGAAAAAGTGGCAGATGAGTCGACGACCAAAAGGATCTGTAGTTACAGCTCTAATCGGCTTGGTAAAATATTAACCTCCTAGGACCTGACGTCCATTATTATTTAGACCAAAATACTAAATCTTGCTCTGTAAGGGCCTGATATCCACTTACGAGGACGTTATGCTGCAACTGTTCTATTGAAATTTTAAATAAATATCCTCGTATGTTGCTCTCATTTTTCTCATAAACAAAAATTAGGTAAAAGAAAAATCTGGTAATTCTTTGTTTTTACTTTCATCAGGTCCTAACCAGTCCAAATATCAAAGAGAGATTAAAATGCATGCCATGGAAGAGTTCAGGTTAAATTAGGTCACTGTTTATGATTCAAATGTCTAACGTGAGACCTAAAATCTAAAACCACGCATGTGATGCAGACAGCAGCATCACGGCATCTGTGTCGGGGACCGGTGCTGCGTGTGGAGCTCACAGCTCTCGATTCTGTCTTCTTTAAAAAGCTGTAAATGAGTCTGTTTCATTTTTCCGTTATTCGTCTTCAAACACGCTCTGGGGTCGTGAAGGTGACATGGCTGTGACGGCGTTTGTTTTGGTGAGCTCTCTGACCGGGCGCTAAAGGACAGCCAGCTAATAATAGCCCCCAGAAGCTCGAGTCACGTGACAGGCCTACTTCAGGGCCGGCAGTGAGACTGAGAGGCCCTATGGCTTCGATCAGTTCTTTAATGACTTTAAACGAGTCCGATTAACGAAGGCCGATTTAAAAACAGGAAGTACTTTGAAGGCGTTAACCTAAACAACGAGAGAATCATCTGTCAGAGGCGCAGCGTTTGATCAGAGCTCCACCCACACCGTTTTTATTCTCAAGAAGAGGACAACCCTCCCCCCCACACACACGTATTCTCATTTTGAAAGTGAGGACATCTAATTGACAACATCTCTTCCCAGTTTCTAACCCTCAGCCGAACTGTAACGCTGACACTGAAACCACATTTTGAGCCTCAAACTGGGGACGGACG